TTCTCGATTACTGCTTCATAACTTGGCACAGATATGCATGAGAATGTGCTATTGTATGTATATATATATACATACATATGTACGTGTGCGTATGTGTGTAAGCACCTGCCCTTTTCTCGCTTTCAAGATGTCTTATTGTGTTTGTGCTTGAAGACTCTTAGCTGGCTTAGATTTGCTTTATCATAGACATATATTTTGCTCCTATCTTCAATCTTAAGCAGACACATTAAATGACCACGCATGCAAAAGGAGCTATATGTAGCTTAGAATTTTGGGATCCTATCTATTAGTAGTACCCTTTATTTATCTTGCCCGACAAGAATCTCTCTTGCTACCTTCCTACTATTTATCAGACATATTGGTCTAAATTGGATCCTATTGCACCTTAAGTACTTCGCTATTTGGTAAATGGTAATATGTATAGGTTTCTTAGTTCTCTTTGGTCCTTACAAGTATTTGATTACATAATATGGCGTTGACTTTTTAAACCTAGTAATCATATCTCGGTCCAAAGTGCTTAATTAATAGCCAATTACAGTAGTCTATTTCCAATCAAATTGGCTCTGTTTATACTCATTAATGGTTTGCATTTGCCACTCTACTTTATAATGATTGTTTGACCTTGTTTTCACAATTTGGTCATATTGGTAGGAAGACTTAGACGAACGCACCTAGTCCGGAGTCCATTGTATGCATGATAATTTCTCAAGTCGGACCGTGAACGTGGTATATTCTCAGAAGTTTCGCTAGTATCGTCAATGAGTCACGCCATTAGCACCACAAAATAACTCGTCAAAGAGACAGGACGAAACGTCTCGGAATATATCACGTCCACGGTCCGACCTTGGAAATTATCATGCATACAATCGACTCAGGACTAGCTGCGTTCCTCTAAGAATTCCTACCAATATGACCAAGTTGCGAAAACAAGGTCAAACAACCTGTCTATAACGAAAGAAGACTGTGACCACACAAATGGCCACATCATCTTGGTCTTCATACCTTCGTTTATACATGATTGTTATCTCTTCTTATTCACTCGGCTTTGGTTCTCTCTTGACACTTCTTTCTGTTGAAGGAAAAGGATCGCATGTTTATAGCTCCACATATCTTTTTATTTTTACTGAGTGCTAGAGTAATCTTAGTCTTCATATTAAATATCGCCTATATTAATTTTTTCTAATGGCTTTGTTTTTATATTTAGACCACTGCCGTCTCTAGTCGTACTGGGAAAATATCAACAGGATCTAACTCTGCTTGTCAAGAGAGTCCACCTGATCGTATCGTAGCCTCGTATGCAGCTGCTGCACACGCTGTGGCGCTTGCTAAGCAGCAGCCTCTTTCTAATGCGGCTGAGGCCTTCCTATCTTCTGTTTCACCGAGTGGTGCTGGATCAAGTAGCAGTAATAGTTCGGTCTCGCGCTCAGGAAAAACGAATGGAGGTGGTAGTCGCCGATATGCTTATTCTAATAATCCTCAGCTTCACAGTAGGCCCAACTTAGCAACCACAGTTAAGGTTTCGAGCACCACGTCATGTTCGTCACGCACTCCCGGCATTAATTCTAAGGCGGTTTCACCTCAAACGCCTGGTCTGACTGGAGCAATCCTCACTACATCTTCAAGCACAATCGAGCCGAATAAGATGACTGCTTGTGCTAATAGCAAAGCGCGATGTGGTTGGTCGCGGATCGTTGACAGATTAGCTGCATCAGTTACATATATTTCGTAAGGATTACTCCATATCCTTTTGTCATTTTTTTGTTACTTTATTGTGGCCATGAAGATCATAATGGCTCTGCTCATAATCTTTATAAATCCATGATCATTGAACAATATTCGCGATAATTTCACTAGTCCTTGCGCCCCTTCTATATAGTAAACTTTCACCTTGAGTGGACTGCTAAGAATGCATATCGCTTTGCTTATTCTTGATTTCTTAACTATTTGGCTTATTGATATAAATTAACCTCTAGATCGGAGATACAAGACAAAGGTGGTATGTTCTTAGGTTTGGTCGAAGTCTTAGTAGTATAGTACTGATTTACTCTCTGGCAACTTGGTCGGAGCGACAGGGAGACCTCGTGAAAGTTCCTAGTCCTATATCCTCTGTCATAGTGTTGATACGAATTTTCAGCATTGTGCCGTTTAGTTGGTACATTTTGAGGTGCTTCGACAGCATCATTAGTAAAAGGCACAGAGTCCTTGTCACAGGGTTAAAACTTATCACTAAGGCTGATGCCACTCAGTGATAATGCCGGTTAAACGTCTGATAATATACCAAGCCAATATGGAAATGTTGGGAATTAACATGAATATTACGGCTGAGGACGCAGGACTAGATCAAATCAGCACTATTAATTACTCTCTAACAATAAACTTTTTTATGCTCTCTTGTATCAAAGCATGAAAAAGAACATGAAATCATTTAATAAGGTTTTTTTAAATTTCTTTTTTTAGCATCGAATTCTGGGCAGTCAATAAAAGATATGCTGGCCATTTTCCCCTCAAATGATTTATTATCTAAAGAACACTTGCTTATTAAAGTATCTAAGGATGTGTATAAAAATGGTTTGATCTAGACGGATGCACTTTGTCTGAAGTCTTCTGTCATAATATCTACGATTATTTTTTATATCGGACCTTGGATTCGCTATATTCTGAGACATTTTCGTGGCATCGTCAGTGTG